TTAGGGTGACAGAGCAGTGGAGCAGGCTGCCCAGGGAGGTTGTGGAGTCTCCTACTCTGGAGGTATTCCAAACCCGCCTGCATGCCACCCTGTGCCACATGCTCTAGGTGTGCCTGCTTGAGCAGGAAGGTTGGACTAGATGATCTCTAGAGGTCCCTTCCAACCTTAAATATTCTGTGATTCTGTGATTCTGTATCACCATCTAAAAGAAAATCTACTAAACCCCATACATCTTAGGGGCAAGCGCCTTACAAATTACAGAAACACTATTGGATTCCAAACAATTTTTAGACAAAATAGTTCTAGAAAATATATATATATAAAAGAACTTTGCATAGTATCCTTACCCTCTAATGAAGGGGATTTAAGTAAACATTACTTAATTGGAAATAAAATATGTATAAATAAATGCCAACAATATCCACTTACATTTTTTTTCCACTGTTAGCCACCTTTGGAAGCAGGATTCCTCTGAGAGAATATGCATGCAACTGGGAAAGCTGCTGATATAACCGTGAGCACTGTGCAGCTCTCTCTCAAACAGCAGGACCTCATCCACCAGGTGACAGAAGAGAGTATCATCATACAAAAGGCAGGGAATATCAGTAGCCAACTTCTCCAAAATCAGCAGTACTAGACCACGAGCGAACTCGAGCTTTTAAAAGAAAAAAGGAACAAAAAAGAAGTATTATTATGTAGATAGCTTTAAAACTGCTGCTAGACTCAGTAAGTGTGACCACTTATTGAGTGAATGCAGTAAAAGGGAGCCTGGCACAAGTGTCTCCTGGAAGCTGCCAAATCTGTGACACAGCTTAGACCACAGAACTACTCACCCCAGCATTCACTGCAGACCCGGCCTTGTCCAAGATGGGCTGGATTTTGTCATCAAGGAACTGTGCATGATTTCCAATCCACATAAGCACTTGTGTTAAGTACCACTCAGGCTATTAAAAAAAGAAAAAAATAATAAGTAGTAAATCTCTCCAAACAACATTTATCCAAGTGCTATATCTATACATTCATTTAATGTGTTACCTATTGTGAAATACTTTAAATTGAGAGTTTAAACAGAGAAATTGAAAAATGTATTGCATATTACTCACGCAAAACTTGCTAAAAAGGGAAGTTATCCACTGTTGATGGGTTCTAACATGCTGTAAATGTTATAGACATGAAAGGTTTCCAAGAACAGCACACTTAAGAGTTTTAAAGAAGTATTCAGAATATAAATGCTTAAGCAGGAAGAAGGGAGAGAACATTAGCTTTAATTTTGACTTTTCTCAACATTTTTTTCYTCCTCACAATAGCAACATAAAAGGGTAGGCTGGGTACTTTCTTTCCTCTGAGGAGGGAACAAAACAAAAAGGAATAAAACTSTATGCACACTTCATAAAGAAACTAGTATTTGTTTTGTCCTAGTAGCTTATCTTAATATTTAAAAGACAAACAYCTCTCCCCTGTCTTCTCCTTATCTCTGATCATGAGGCAGCTGCATGGTATTTACAAGAAAAAAAGAAAACCAGAGAAGCACTTGGGCAACTCAACTATCTTGAATCAACTTAGTATTTTGTTTCTTCAAGTAAAGACACCAAATTTCCATCTCTCCCTTCCCTTTTGTTTTCTCACTCATGAGGTCTTCTTTATTTTCTTGCACATTTGGCCCTGTTCTGTTGCACAAGTTTTTTGCCATAGGTCCAGCAAAAAGCAAACACTCCTTAGAATAACCTGCATTTTTCTTAAGAAGCCTTTTAAAGAACAGTTACACATCTCATTTAGGGACAAATCCCCAGGAAACAGCTTTCCCAGTTGGCTTTTAAGAACACTTTAAGATTAAATACTGACTGCTTCCCCACCGACACACATAACATCACTAAGAAGGCACTGCAGTAGCAACTCTCAGACTGCAAGTACTTTTATTTACCCAAGGTGGTCAATCCAAGCACAGAAAACTTGTTACTAAACTGTTCTAAAACATCTCTCAAACTCAGCTGCAGATGCGTTACAGCAACAGAAGTGTTTTACATGTAGGGAGTCTGCCTGAGGGATCATTATCAAGGGTAATACTTATATCTTTGATCATAATTCACACACACACACACACACACACACAAATTAAGTCCCTTTCCAACAGGTAAGCTGGACATCTCTTATTTCATATTAAATGAAAAAGTGCTGTTTTATGTCTGTCTATTCTTGCAGCTTTTAACAATCTTAATTTCAGGGGAAAGATATAATGTTAACTATCTAATTTAAATACAAAAAYGTATCTACTACTAACATTAAAATCCATTAAGTAAGTCTCGTATACCTTGTTTAAAACATTGGTTTGTTTATTTCCAGTGAAATGATACTTGAATCTTTTCTGAAGAGGGTTCAGCATGATCTGCATTGGAAGGATAATAGGTGGTGATGGAGGCAGAGAGTATTTCTCTGGCAACTGTTTAGGTTTGGTTAACAGTTCATCTCTAAGTTTGAAGGTCAAGGATAAAACATTTATTAATAGACTAGGCAAGTGTTAAATTCTCCCAACATCATAATTTCAATGAAATGGTTATATAAAAATGAACTTTTCTTAGTTTTATCCAGTTTACTTAAGGCACTTTATACAAGCTCAATATTTCACTTTAAATATTACATCATAACTTTTCYGCTGAAGATTAATTATTCATCAGTCAACATGTCTCTGAATTTGATTTATAAAAATCATTTATCATTGGGGGAGTARAAGTAGCAACAACAGGGCTGTCCAAAACACAAGCATATTCCTATTTCTTAAGGGATAACCAAACCTCATGCAATTAAGGAAGGCAACACATGATGCCTTGTTTACAAAAACTGATTTAGGTGACAACTGATTTAGGTGACAAAACTGCAGTTAAGGATAAAGCATTAAAAAGGTACAATCTCCCTAATGAAAACTGTTTAGCTTTGCTTTATTCATTTACAAAGGAACTGGATGAGCAGCAGCACRTTTGGGAATTTCTGAAAGTCCTTCTGCGGCCTCATCTTTTTGTAAGGTCTCCGAGACAAGTATCCCTAGATCCCTCTCTATGCCTTCTCTGAGGGAAGATCTCAAGGGGTTTAGTTTGAACACTGTACATGCATGCCAGCTCTATGCAGGGTCCTTACATCCTGCTATGAGCTGCTTAATACCTATGAGGGAAAAACAGTCAGCCATGCCTTATAGAGAACATACAACCATTTCCTTCAGAACATGCACTCCTGGTATTTATTATCCTACTTAACACCCAACTATTCCAAAGGATACGAGGTTTGCAACTTCAAAAGCTGACAGAACAACGTCTCCAARTTATTGTATAAGTCCGGAGCACTGGCAGATGCAGAAAGGCCAAAAGCCTGAGTCTGCGGTGGCCCCACAAAGGGCCAATGAAGCTGCGTTAGCACCTCTTCAAAGTCACTGCAACACAAAATGAGCACTTCCACACGAGCTCGTGGGGCAGTGCAAAGCTCACAGAGCAGTGGTGCAGCCCTTACCTTGACAACTTGTCCTTAAGAATTTTATGCCAGAATTTAACAGTGGATCTCACAAAAGAAAGAAGATGGGTACAAGATGACTCCTGAAGTTTAATATCCAGTTCTGCCATGAATGCTAAAGTACTGGCYGCCTCAGGAACATTGTTGGTCATCAGGTATTGCTGAATGTTATCACTATGAAATAAAAATGGAGACTAAAGGTCACAAATGCAAAAAAAAAAAAATCTATGTATTGATAATTACAGATAAAAATAGCTTAATCTACAATATTTTAATGAGGTTCAGTATGTCACTGCTTTGAGCGGGTATACACCCAGAAAGGATTTATGGACCCAACTCCCTAGAAAGTAAGAGTCTGTCACAGAGAATTAAACTGTTGAGGAAAAGGAGTGGAAGAGGGACTCAATGATCTCAAAGGTCTTTTCCAACCATAATGATACTACGATTCTAAAAGGAAGGCCTCAAACTCTTAAGCACAGCTTCTGGAAATAGTCATCCCAAATAACAGGTTTTCTGCTCCTAAGTACAACGCTGAAAAAATTCACAAAGCAGCAGACCTGCCTAATGCATCTCTATAGTTTTGTGAATAATACTTTTCACTCSAAGTTTATCTCTGTAAAATTTGATCCAACAATGCTTTTTCATTTCTGAAATTCTTGGCATACACTACAAAAACTTCCCCACTGGAAGACACTATGGATGAATTAACACAACACTGCTCATTTACACTAAAAAAAGGTCTGCACACTAAAGCAAGGAATTAAAACGGTTAAGTCTGAAGCATCATGTTTCTTCTCAAGATGTTCAGGTATTACTTTAATTAACATATTGTAATTTGCAGTGACTGGAAAAAAAACTAATCAAATAGGCTTTTTCATTTCTCTCACATAAGAAGTGGTTACTTATTGTCTTCTTTCTTAAACTTGACAGAAATTGAAGCAATAATCTCTGTGTTTCCCAATGAAATGAATTAATCAATTGCAATAAAGATGAGCTACAGTTCCTATGTGTTTATCAAATCTTATTTAACAATGTAGCCTTGAAAACAACCCTCCAATAACGCTATCAAGATTTTCTTAAGGGTCTTTCAGTTTCACCTTAACTCTTCTATTCGTGAAATCCATTTCAGGTAAGAAAGGTGTCGTTCAATCTCTTCTATTTGACCCATCAGTAGATCAAGATCCTCCATCCAAGGCTGAGCTTTCTCTAAGTGGTTACTGATTAAATTTGACAGAAGAGCTTCTTCCTCCAAAAGCCGAGCGAGAGACTTCTTGGAATCTTCTGCATTCTTTAAAGCATCCTGGATTCTTTTAGGGACTTCTGATGAAACCGTAAGTACCTATATTTATAAARAAGTATTTAGCATAAAATCACATAAAGTCACTAAACACGGGAAGTAACACATAGAATATTAATAAACTGTCCCAATTTAGTTAAATAAATAGATCATTCAACAGATCTGGCATTTTCATGGAAATCTGAGGACACACTTACCTGCTCCTCCAAGTGCCTTTTATTTTCAGACAGCTTTTCGATAAGGCCGTCCAGCTTCCTCAGGGAATCATAATCAGTCCCAACCTCTCTTTCCACAAATTCAGAAACGTAGTAGGGGATATCACAGTGCTCGGGATCTCTGGGGGCTTCTTTCTTTKTAACGTTAGTGGCTTCCATGTTTCCTTGACCTGCAATGCTGATGATTTCTAGTTAGTCACCACTAACACAGCACTTCCTACCGCTGATTTCAGTAGTATTTTAACAAGATATTCAATGTTGCTTTAAGTATGGCAATTTGCTTGGTTGGAAAAGGAAACGCTCTCTTTTCTCTAGAAAAGAAAAATCTTGAAAAGACAGCCATCCTAATGCTGAGTTTCATTAMAATTCATGCAGTATGCTTGCTTTTAGTAGGGAAAGCAAGGAAGAATATTGGAAAATAAACATATTTTTATTAAGCAGGAAGGAACATAAGACCAACCTACCTTTTTACGCAGTTTGGGACTTTCTAAAAGCATCTAGTGATGAGATGACCCATGGCTAGCAGAGTGTCCAGTCAGGCCTTGTAGGATAAGCACTCGATTTGTAAAGTTGGTGCATGAGCSAATTATCAATTTAAAAAAAAAAGGGGGGAGGGTGGGAAACCAAGCGCCCAGGAAAAAGAAACCACGCTCTGCACACAGCCTTGAAATCAAGATGTTTATGTACAACAGAGGAAAAAGAACAGCGACACTTGGCTGTTTGACAACCGAGCTTTTAATTCCGCTTTATAACCCGCCTTTAAAAGCGCGGTCTCCACAGCGGCGCTTTACGGGCTCCAAGGGAAGCGGCCCCRAGGCGGCAGGAGGAAGGGCGAGCACGGGCGGCCGGGGGAAGCGGCGGTGAACGGGAAAGGGGCTCCGCTCCCCCGGGAATGGGAACGGCGGCACCGCGGCCCGCGCGCGCTCACCTGTCCCCCTGCCCCCTCCCGCCACGCCGGCGGCGGCTCCCGCGCACGCGCGCCATGCCGCGCATGCGCCCTCCCGCCCCCGCCGCCCRACGGCGCCGCCGCCCCGCGCCCGTGACGCGGCCGCGCGCTTTAGTCCTTGCTTAAAACCCGCCCGTACCACCGATGTGCGTTACCCCACAGCCGCCGCCACGCCAAGGAGCGAGGGTGGCTTCTTGCACCAATAAAAACTTTAAAAAAATACAAATCTCCCGCTACTGCTCTTTAAAGATCTGTCCAGGGCATTTTAGTAGTAAAACACTTTATAGGCGGTAGCTCCTTCTACAGCATGTTCAGCGCAACCAGGTCGTGTTGAGCTGTGTCTGGTTTTTTATGCTCGTGTCCATTTTCAGCACTTCTCGGATGGCCATAGTGGCGTATGTGGATGGGGGAAGGGAGAACTCCATCTTCAGCGCCCTGAATTTGCCCTCTGCGGTGTCGTGATAGCAGGAAATACAGATAAAAACAGGCTGTTAAGACCATAGAAAGTGCTTGTCCTGCCTTACCTCAGAAGTAGACATCAAAACTGAATGAAAACCCAGTTTATAATCCATACCAAAATCTCACAAAATAATTCCCATTTAACATCATCTCTCATCAGGAGGTGACTACACACAATAAATATTTATAAAAATCTACAGAGTTATCAATTTCGTCCAAGTAGGGTACTTTGTTTTCTTTTTAAAAAGAAAAAAACTCCTTTCAAAACTGAATTCCTAGCCTTTTCAACCTTTTATTTTCTGTAAAGTAGAGTCAAAAGGCCTTGTTCCCAAGTTATTTTAAAAAATTTCAGCTGGCTTAAGTATTTGAACAGTCTCTTCTAAAGTGCTCAAGCCTTTAGCCTATTTGTGGCTTAATTCCACCTTCTCTTTATACATTTGACAGATATTTAGCGTTAAACATTTACCTCATTTTCTGAAGATCGGTAAGAAAATGCAACCGTTAACACAGACTGCTGGAGGAGTTTGCTCGTAGTTTTTTTTGTTTGTTTGTTTGTTTGTTTGTTTTGTTTTGTTTTTTTTTTTTTGATAAATAACAGCCCTTATTCAGGCACCTAAATTTGGGTACCTTCTTTTTTTGTGTCATAACCTAAGCTCTTTAAAGGAGCTTTCAATATGTTGTAGTTGGAAAGAATAATAAGATCAAACGCCTCTTCTACCAACATCAGCAGAAATGTTAACTTACCTGTAGGGAGAACTGGTACTGGTTTTCCTTCCAACTTATCCAAATCCGTATTAAATAATGGGATTTTAGGATCATCATATGCAACAACTTCCCTTTATAATATACAAAAGATATTATTATTATTATTTAAATTTGGCAGCTACAAAATATGATGAAATCATATGGAGATGAAATGATTCTCCAATACAAATTAAGGACGGTGCTTTTAYGGTGCAATAATTGATAAAGTTGATAATGGAGATCATCAGAATATAAACTAGTGAGACATTTCTTTACATAACTCAGCTTCTCCCTCTCCACATGGTATCAGAAGTTTATGAGTTACAGAAAGAATGAAATCAACTTTCAAAAGAATACTTAAAAAAAAGCCAGGCTGAATCAACAGGAAAGCAGATAAGCTCCAAAAATCAGCAGTAACTAGAACAAAACGCAGATTTTTTTTTTGTCTCCTTCCAAAATCCTCCATATCCTTTTCTGTGTAACAAAGAAGGTCATTCTGTACAATATTTTCTTTAAAAGATACACATGCAGTTGCCATATTATAACTCTTACCCCTCATAATGGTGATTTAATATATTTAAGTAATACAAAYGATTGACACACAGGCTATTGGAGACCAACTTTTCTTACACAGCAAGATTGCCAAAACACCTGGTCTGTACTATGTGCTGTGATTTTAACATGAACAATGAAATCATCTGTGAAGTGTTTGGGCAAGCCCTTACTGCAGGGGATATTAACATCAGATAGAGATCTTGACACTAACACATCTCTCAGAACCAGAGGATCAGTGACAAGGCTCAAGTTCAACTGCGTAAAAATGTGAGGAAAATGATCAAAGATTCTTTCTTACTTCTCTTTTRGTCTATACGGACACACCACAATCTAATGCCTCTTTATTGGTCACCCTCYATGCTGTCAATTCAAGTGTAATTTCCTTCATCATCCTACTCACCAGTTGACATTCTGAGGTCGAATGATGATCTTTCTGTACGCTCCTGAAAGTGAATAATCTCTAATCTTATGCCTCATGTTGTTGATATCAAGATTGTCGGCTACTAGCATTTCCTTGTAGGCCTCACCAACTGCAAGAAAGGAAAACTTTAAGCACAGACTCTGTAGTATAGCCAATTTCAGCAAACATAGATTTATGTAACATCCTTTCCCTTGTTTTCCAGTGATCTTCAGCATATGTGTAATAAATACTAGGCAGAAGTTTTAAATTATTTATCACAAATCCTTTTACTTAAAAAGTTTTCTTTTAAAACCTGACCAGTACAGTCAAGGAACCCAGAATCTCACTTGACAATCAAAATATCAGCTGAAAACAAAACTGATATGAAACATTTTATTGACACTTCACTTGCTGACACATGACTAAATCTCAGCTATATGGCGAGGAGGTAAAAAAAAAAGGTGGCCAGAGTATTCCTGTATTTGAAAAAGCAGCAAAGACTGAAATGAGTTTTAGCTTTGTTTTTAAAGCTCTCTGAAGAAGTTAGCTGATAGGGAGCACTAAGTACCCCTAATTGAATGACCAACAGGAGCAGTCATCACCCTTGTATCCTTAAGTTAAGCGTCCGTGCACGTCCACATGCTGGGGAGCAGGTGAGTGGAAATACAAGGACAACTAATATGCAGTTTGATGTCTTTATTTTGCAGTACCATTTCCAGCATTACTTCCATCCAATTGGGAAGTTTCAGGAGAAATAACTTTTAACTTACATAGGGCAAATCACATTATAAATATATTAAATATTAAAAATTTCAGCTCTCTTTTCCATCTTTGAAGAAAWGTGGTTCAGCGCCACACCTTATCTCAAACAGATTGTTACTTTCAAAATACTTCATCAGAAGGTGGTAAAAGGGATTTGAGGGAACTTAGTTCTGACAGGCAAAGAACTTCAAAAGAGTTGACTGGTCTTCAAGGACAACCTTTTCCAAGAACAGTTCCACTCACTATTCAAGAAAACGAGGGAATGTAACAGCAGATGGGCTTTGCAAAACTGGATATTCATGACTACTTTCGAATGYAGAAAAGAGATCTACAAGAGCTGAAACGTAGGACAGGTAAGAAAGCAAGAACGTTGAAGCATTTTCCAGGCAAGGAACTGTGTTAGGAAAGAGCGCTCAGCTAGAGCTGAAACTGTCAGCAGACATCAAGAGCAATTAAGAAGAGCTTAATTGCAACACTGGCAGTAAAAGAATGCAAGGAAAATGTGGGCTGCTAAGTCTTTTGCCTCAGTCCTGACTAACAAGAAGTAACAAGAGCTGGCTCGTGTCATTGTAATGCTGTTCTCTATCATTGAAATGTCATGGAGATCAGGGGAGTTCCCTGTTGAGTAATCAGATTAGTAAAATTAGTAAAATCTTGCACCTGACTTTGAAAAAAGCATGACCCAGGGAACTACAGGTCCCCTACACTTTGGTTCCTAGAAAAATCGTGGAGCAACCTCTCTTTGAACACTTTTCTGAGCACATGAAGATCATGACTGAGAACATGCAACATGAATTTACTAATGGTAACTCAACATCTCTGTCTTCTATGATAATATTATTAGCTTTRTGAATAAGGGGAGAGCAGTGGATGTTGTCTGCCTCAGAACTGTTGCAGTGTCCTGGCTGGACTACTTCATSGTGAAGAACTGCTTAAAACCTGGTCTTCAAGGATCTACACGATCTTAAAAAAAAAACTTGCATTTTCAGAGTGATTATGTGAGTTAACATTCAGCCTTACTTTTATGCTTTGGATAAATAACATCAAATCCAGGCAGCGGCATCACTACATCATGGATAGTGTAGTTATCAACATCATCTTCTTCAATATGAACTGCTGTGGCTACAGTCAAAGCACAAATACAAATAGAGTATGAATGTCTGCTACAATTACCATGAGCAAATTCTAAGTATTTCACTGAAACAAGCTTGCTTTTAAAGGAATAACTGTAGTTTTATTTATTTAATTGACAGCTTTTTTTCAAAGTAAAAAAACAACTAAAAAAAACAAAAACATTCTTTAAGGCTGTCAGTGATAGTGGAATCCTATCCATGGTTTCCAATAACTTTTAAAGGTAAATGACATAAAGACTATTGAATGAACAATCCACTAACTGAAAATATTATGTGGTGAGGATCTCCTCACCACAGGAAAACTTCAGAAAAATACGAGTGAGGAAAGTTTGGACTAAGTACAACCTCCATTAAAAAAAAAGTAATAGTGTGGATAAAGCATTCATACCATCTTTTCTTCTGTAGTTCTCCCCAGATCAACMAGGCCTGAACTCTTTCTTTCCTTCAGCAGAAGCATTCCCTCATAGTCTCCACCCCACCAAACTACTTATTTAGACAAGCAAAGAAACTACCATCTTGAAGTGTAATATAGGACTTTAAAAGACTCCCACATTCTTTCAAAATTTGACAAAAAATGGCCAATGATTCAGAAGTCAATGRACTCAAAAGAAAGAAAAGATCTGCTTATGTGACACTGCATACTTGGAATTTGTTTTGGAATTTGGACTATAAAGCATCACTGGCTTTTTGTCAGTCTGATTTTACCTCCTTTGAGTATCAGATCTCCCGGTACAGCTTTAAGACCATAGTCTTCTATTCTTTTGCTCACCATATTGTTCCATACATAACTCTGGTAGCTATGAATATACATTAAACGATTAT